TCGGACGAAACTATATATGGGAGCTATATCTAAATCTGAACCGATTTTCTCGAAACTTGGCACACATCATTTTGGACATAATTTAGTGCTCTGTGCCAAATTTCGTTCAAATCGAAAGATATATAGGGACTATGGTGAACCATTAACCTTAAATCGGACGAAACTATATAAGGGAGCTATATCGAAATCAATTTGCTCGAAACTTGGCACAGATCATTCTGGACTTAATTCAGTACTTTGTGCCAAATTTTGTGCAAATCGAAAGATATATAGGGACTTTGGTGAACCATTTACCTTAAATCGGACGAAACTATATATGGGAGCTATATCTAAATCTGAACCGATTTTTCAATAGGGTTCGTCCTTGAGCCAAATAAGTGACGTGTGCCAAATTTCATCCAAATCGGATCACGAAACTATATATGGGAGCTATATCTAAATCTGAACCGATTTTTCAATAGGGTTCGTCCTTGGGCCAAATAAGTGACGTGTGCCAAATTTCATCCAAATCGGATCATAAATGCGACCTGTATTTGTTTACAATTTAACATCTACAGACGGACAGACAGACGGACATGCATAAATCGACCCAGAAAGTGAAAGTGCATATTCTCAAAAGGAACTATGGGTCTATCTCGTTTCCTTTTGCCTGTTACAAACATATACACAAAGACATAATACAATGTACCACAGTGTGGTGAAGGGTATAAAAATTTCTGGTGTCAAATAGTGGCGGTGAAGAAGATACCCCAGAACCAATAAGAGATGACGGCATAGATTGTTTACCACCTAGCCAAGATGCGGTATGAATAGCAGTTAATCGTCTGAAGAATAATAAAGCAGCCGTTGCCAATGGATTACCAGCCGAAATATTCAAGACCGGATGCTGGTCAGGGGCATTCACCAGTTTATTAGTACAATTTGGCTAGAAGAATGCATGCCCTATGATTGCAATGACAGCATCCTGTGTCCCGTGTACTAAAATGTATACTCATAATCTACAAGACGCTGAAGGATCAGTAGCATGGATACTTGCACAAGCAGATGAGACAGCTCTTGGAGTGTTTGAGAGAAAAATTATCCGAAAGATCTATGGGCCGATCTGCGTTGACGGGGAATATATATTATATCATCTATTCTCGGACATCGACATGGTCAGACGTATCTAGCTGTAGCGACTTCGGTGGTTAGGTCATGTTGTAAAAATGGATGAGGATGGCATTTTTGGTAGAGAGTGGACAATTCTTTGTCATTGTGCTTCTATATTATTATCGTGACAAGGAGTGCTTTCGCCAAGCCGGTGGGTAAGTTGTGCGAAGTAGGCTTCTGCTACCCGTTGTTTTTGAAGCTTTTCGACGTCGAGTTTCCGTGTTGTGTTAGATCGCAACTTTGCTGCTACATTAAGACGAATGCGAAACTTGGCTGCTACAAGGTAGTGGTCCAAATCGATAATTGCTCCTCCGATTGATGAATCTTCTAAAACACTAAAACCGCCTATCAAAGCATGATCAATTTGATTTCTCGTTGCTTGATCAGGAGAAATCCAGGTGGCCTTGTGTTTATCGAGATGCTTGAGTCTGGTGCTGCTAACTACCATATTTTTTGCTGCCGCAAAGTCATGCCATTATCGGAAGGGTATTATTCTGTTTAGAAAAAAATATCTGCAGAAGGTCTTCTGTAGGATGGTTTTCTATAAAAGTCCAATCAAATTGCCTTCTATTTATAGCAAACCTTCAAAAAGTCTGCTATATATAGAAGAATCTTCTACATTTATAGAAAAGCTCTCTTCTATATAAAGAATAACTTTCAAAAGATTTTTCATTTATAGAATACCTCTCTATCTTAATTTTTAAGGGACTTTTGTGCTTTAAGTAGGTCAAAGGGTTTTCTATTCATAGACGTCCTTCAATAAAGTATTTTAAAAATTAGCACCCCTTATCGTACTGATAATTGTCACTCCAATTACACAAAAACCTACACGGCTGACAACAATTAAATCAATGCAACCCCACCATCGTTGGGCCCACCCTAAAATTAAAGCGGTACGGTATTAATGTTGAACGTTTTGGACATACAATATGCTGCATGCATAATGACCAGATAGGCATAATTACCGGCGGATAACGTAGCCGATAGCTAGACAGACGTGTTCCGATACCACGTAGGGTTGAAGTGTCTGATGGCATTTTCTAATTTCGAAGAAATCATTTTGATAACACAACAATCAACACACCGGATTGCATACCGAATGCATTCGGAAAACCGAATGACATCGAAGACAAAACCATTTGATTACAACGATGTAAATATGCAAATAATTTCATTCATTACCAAATGCAAAGTAAATTTTCGATGAGTGTGTGTGTCTGTCTTTGTTATGTATTACATTTCGTAATATTTCTATGGAAATTTCAAATGAATATTCAATGATTTTTTTGAAATTAACAATGAAATGTTGAAAATGGAAATTTAAAACGAAAAAGGTAAATGGAATCAATTTCACACTGGGAAGTGTCAATGCAATGAATTCGATGCAATTTGAAATCGTTTTTTTCTAGATACTGATAACTTTCCTTAAGTCAAAATGTTCATTCAAGTTTTTGTTTTCCCCTTTTTGTCATGCGGAAGAATTCTGTATAGATCTGTGATGACTCATTTCGTGTCTGATGACTTTTTGAGTGACATCCAGTCAATACAAAAAAAAAAAAAAACAAAGATCACAAAGGTGTACAACAAAAAGTCAAAATGCCAGACAGTGAAGGTATCGATGAGACAAGAGAAAATATTCCAAATGACATTCCTAGAAGGGAAAAAACACTAAGGCTGAATGGAACATTACACAGCCAAATAATTGAAAAAAATATAGACAAAAATAGAACTCAAAAGTGACTTAGATGTAGAACAAAGGGATTTCCGTTGAATCGATAATGAGTTGTAGTTTTCGGAATGGAAACTCAAAAATAGATGTAATTGTGCCAAAATAAATATTTGAAAAAGTGAGTTGTATTTCAGTTCTATAAGAAAACCAGTGAGCGGAGCAGTATAGTCGGACGGTGCCGGCCATACGATACCCTACACAACTACCACGGAACTCAAATTTTCTGCGGATGTTTATTCCGTGCCTGGGCAATATTTCGTGATATTTGCATCCTCTTGCCCGATTAGAGGTAAACAGCATCTCTTCCTCACACTGACATATTTTCCGAATATTACGAGTATTCAGTACAGCTATTGTCCAGATACCCTTCACCGTGGGTTGTGTTGTGATGTTCGGCTTTCATTTGTGGTCTATAGATCGACTCGAAAATAACACAAAAAATTAAGTTTTCGGTCCACTTCATTCCAAAATTATTATCTGATCATCACCGAAAATTATAGGCGAAAATTATAGGCGAAAATTATAGGAGCGGAACTATAGCGCTCTAGAGTGATAATGGGTTACTAAATAATATACGAATACGGAGATACCTGTAAATATTTAGGTGTAACTCCCACATCCGAGCACATACAACAATATAATTGGTCTTAATTTAAAGGTCAACCACTCCTCTTGGATATATATATAAACTTCTCGGGTCTATGTCCTTCAGTGGTAAATATATATGCTATAGAATACAAAATTTGTAATTTTTCACACAAAAGTCAGGGTCAACTTGACCCGCTAAATATTGACCGTTCTTTATGAAAACAGGCATGCTTATTCTTTGGCGCGATCCCCTTCTCCATGCAAAATTTCACGATCTTCGGGCCATTATTGCGGCCTCTGGAGCGACCAGAAAAACCGAAAAAATTAGTATTTGGTCCATTTCATCCCCTAAATATTAACCGATCTTTCCCAAAAACAATAGGGGTCTTCATTGGCCAGGACCCATCCTACATGCACAATTTCGTGAAGATTGGTCCATAACTGTGGTCTGTATCGTCTTTACAAATTATAATGGTCCGACGGACGGACGAACGAACACACATGTCTAGATCGACTCAGCTAGTCGAGATATGACGATCGGTATACTTAAAGGTGAGTCTAGGACCAATATTTCGCGGCGTTACAAACTTTTGGGGCTGCACAAAGCTATAATACCCTGACAACATAGTTGTGTAGGGTATAATAATAAATTTAGAACGCCAATCGATTAATTACCTATTTAAGAAACCATTCAAAAGTACCATTCAATAAAATGCGGCGGCACTCCCACATTTAGAAAACCATTTTATATTTTTTAGATCACTTATTTTCCGTCTTTTTCTTCTAGATGATCTCTGTCCTAAAATCCTCGAAATTGTTTTAAGTGTTGTTGTCATCGCTGTTAGAAAAATTGTCGCAGTGATTTTGAATATCGTGTTGGGGTCGCCATCATTCACAATACCCGTGTGCCGTGATATCACAACATTTGGGGGAGAGAGAGATTAAGTGAGACACACAGCCAGTAGGAAGGCAGCAGACAGGCGAGTCAAGAAAAAAAACCAAACGCTTTTTGGCCCATGCATTGATGCAATTTAAAATACAAATACTGGTCATTGAACTCAATTTTCTTTTTATTTTCACTTGAATTGAATTTGATGAGCGAACAACATAGTGTAATGTCTTTCAAATAGACAAAAATAATAACACAACCGTTGCGATCAAAGTCCAAAATGTAATATGTTTATTTTCTGTTTACAAAAGAGAATAGGTTTCAACAATCACTACTGTTACACTCATTAGTAGTGATTGAGTGATATTTAATAAACAACGAATGAGAGGGAATGGAAGAATGTAAGAGTACTAAACAGTAATATTACAGTAGGCTCTGCATACAAGTACTATATAGTAATATTACAGTAGGCTCTGCATACAATACAAAATACAGTATATACTTGATATATGCAATACTCTATATGCTCCTCCTAAAGCTGTTTCATACATATTAAAATTCAAATATTTAATTCAAAATAATTTTACAATATGGATATTTACATAAAAATTTTTTTTTTTTTTGAAATTATTTTATATATATATATATTTTTTTTAGTTTTTTTTAACGACTTTTCCTCCTGCTCGAGGTCTGAGATTTCTTGTGGTTTGTGAAGTATCTTCAGTTATTGATGGAGGTGTGACTATAGCATTGTTGTCGTTGTTGTTGGATGGAATCGTGATGTCGTTGGACAGCTGTTGTACAGAACTGCCTCGGATTTGGTCTAAATGACGTTTGATGTTGTTATTATTGTGACTTAATGTACACGAGTAAGATTGAGGTCCGAGTTGTTGTGTGATTGTAGCTTGTGTCCAACTGGGTTTATTGGTATTTCGGTAATCTCGAACCATAACCTTTTGACCTTCATGGAAAGTTGCATTGCGTTTTCCTTTATGATGTATTATGTTTTTCTCTTGCGAAAGCTTTAATTTTTCTTTTATGGTAGGAGGTTTAAGATTGCTGAATCGGGTCTTGAGCTCTCTCCCGAAAAATATTTTTGCCGGTGACTCACCAGTACTGCAGTGGATCATATTTCGATAGTCCATTAAGAATCGGCATAAAATCTGATCAATATTGGCGTCTCTGTTACCATCCAAATTTGCATAGATAGATTTTTTAAGCGTTTTGACAAAATTTTCGGCTTGCCCATTTGTGGATGGATGTCCGGGTGCAGTTAAACTGTGCTTAATTCCATTTAAGGATAAAAATGTCTGAAATTCAGATGATGTGAACTGTGACCCATTGTCACTAACTAGGGTATCCACTAATCCATACCTGCAAAATAGTTCTCTTAGTTTTCTTATTGTAAAAGAAGATGTTATGTCCTTTGTCTTAAAAACTTCGACAAATTTAGAATAAGAATCGATAACAACCAAAAAATGAAAGTTTTTAATTGGACCAGCAAAATCAACGTGAATACGTTTCCATACTGAACCACAGGGCTCCCATGGTATCAAAATTCCTTTCTGAGGACTAGGCTGTAATTTTTGACACGGTACACAGTTTTTTATGAGACTTTCTATATCTTTATCAATACCAGGCCACCATACATACGACCTAGCCAATGCTTTTGTTTTGACTATTCCTAAATGTGAGGAATGCAAAGCTTCCAAAATTTTGGATTTTAATTTTTGAGGAATAACTGTTCTGTATCCCCATAGAACGCAACCATATTCTACAGTTAATTCAATGTATTTTTCTCGAAATGTGGAAAAAATAGGATCTTTTAAATTTACAAGTGTACCATCCAAAATACTTGCTGCTACCTTCGATAAAATCGGGTCTCTTCGGGTTTCTCTGCAGATATCTTTGAAGTCCACTGGAAAATCTCTTTGTGATTCAATAAAATTTATATATGAACTTTCACTATGATTACTTTCAAAGTTTATATGAGGTAATCTGGAAATAGAATCAGCTTCATTTTTACATCCTTTTACATACTCAATGGTATAATTAAAACCAGAAAGGATCAAGGCCCAACGTTGCATCCTCGCTGACGCCATTATTGGCAAGCCTTTGTTACTTCCAAAAATTGTTAACAGTGGACGATGATCAGTCTTCAAAATAAATCTATTTCCAATCAAATATTGTTTAAGCTTTGTAACACAAAACACGATAGCAAGAGCTTCTTTTTCCAAAGTGCTATAATTTTTCTCACTCTTGGTTAAAGCTCGTGAAACAAATGAAATGGGTTTAGAAACATCAGAAAATTTATGTGATAGAACACCAGCAACAGCATTGTTCGACGCATCCGTTGTCAAAATCAAAGGCAATTTAGGGTTAAAATGCACCAGGACCTGATCGGACGTAACTTCACGTTTAATTCTGTCATAAGCCTTTTGACATTTATCAGACCAAACGAACGAAACATCCTTACTCAACAAATTATATAGCGGAGACATTATATCAGCAAAATCGTTGATGAATTTTGAATAATAATTCGCCATACCAACAAAAGCTCGTACTTCGGATATATTTCTTGGAATAGGCGCAGACATAATGCTTGAAATTCTTTCATCATTCTTAGTCAATCCATTTCTGTTAATATTAAATCCTAAGTAGGAAATCTCGTTTTGAAAAAATTTTGACTTCTTCACGTTAAGTTTTAATCCCGAGGACTGTAGCTTCTCTAATACACGCCTTAACGTCGAAATATGTTCACTCAAATTCTTTCCAGTAACGGTTATGTCGTCCTGATAAACCACAACACACGGAATATCTCTTAACAAATTCTCAATAGTCTTTTGAAAAATTGCTGCCGCTGTTTTCACACCAAAGGGTAAACGTTTAACTTTTAAGGTTCCAATATGAGTACTCCACGCACACAAAAGTTGAGAATCGTCATCTAGAATAAGCTGATTATAAGCATTTGAAAGATCTAGTTTGGTGAAAACTTCACCACCTTCCAACGAAGCAAAAATTTCATCAATCCTAGGTAGAGGATACTTGAAATCAACCAAAAACTTGTTCAATGTGACCTTATAATCACCACAAATCCTCAAATCACCATTGGGTTTTAAAATAGGAACAAGGGGAGTACCCCAATCCGAATTATCTATGGGTTCCAAGACGTCTGAGGCAATTAATTGACGTAAATGTTTTTCAACTCGTTCTTTCCAAGCTAGTGGCAATGGCCTTGGTTTGCAAAATATTGGTACTGCGTCACTAACAACTTGTAGGGAAATTGTGCATCCACTAAACTTTCCCAATTTACCATCAAAAACTCCATTGAATTCATTTTTCAACTGATTAACAATTGTCATGTTCATATCAGTGACTTGAATGTTGTTAACTTGTAATAATTCAAAATTAAAAGCTCGTAAAAACGATCGACCAAGCAACGGAGGATTCTTCGTAACAACAACAACTACCACTACTGATTTGGTATTACCTTTATACGTTACACTTGCATCATATTCACCAGCCAACTTCAGCTTAACACCATTGTAATCTACATATGGCACTTTACACGATCTCAATTTTCTCTTAATTCCGTTCTCTTCCAAAAATGAGATCGGCAACAACGTACATGGTGCACCTGTATCACACACTGCCTTCAGTTCCACACCATCAACAACAACATCCAGAGAATACACATCACCATTTTCTTTCTCAGCCACACTAAAAATAGAATAATCGAAAACATTGTTATATTCATGAACATCACTCTCAACGTCATTAATTTCATTCGATACATAATTTACACTCTTTTTCCTACTATAGCAGACCGAAGCCAAATGACCAATTTTTCCACACGAATGACATCTGCTCTCTTTATATTTGCAAGACTGAGAACTATGATTTCTCCAACCACAATGAGAACATGCATATTTCTTGCCACCACCGCTCTTGCTGTCTCTGCTATTGTTGTTACGTTTGCTGCTGCTGCTACCACCATCTCTATTACCACTGCCAGTGCTGCCTCTGCCACCACCACCATAGTGATTTTTTGCATATTTCTGACCGTTAACCAAATTTACAGTGCATTGACTTTTCTCCTCTGCCTTTGCCATATGCTTCGTTTCCAAAATCATAGCCTTTCTTAATGCACTTTGTACTGTTAGGGTTTCATCTTCTTCACACAATCGTTCAAAGATGAAATTTGGCAAACCCATAACAAATTGATTAAGTACAAATGCATCCAAGCTGACACCAAACTTGCAATTGAGTGCTAATGTTTTTACACGAGCATACCATTCAGCAACAGACTCATTTTCAGCTTTGCTACACAAATGAAACTTCTTCCGCTCACTAAATACAATAGTTGGTGGGGTATATTGTGTATCTAAAATCTCACACAGCTTTTTATACGACACGGACACTGGAGACTCCGGACTGCATAAACTATGCAAAACTCTGTACGGCACAGCACCAATTGATTTCAACAAAATTGACTTTTTGGTGTTCTCGTCCGAACAGTTAATTTCAAAAAAATGAATGTCCAATCTCTCCTTCCAAACGTTCCACGACTCCACATTAGGGTTGAATTCCGGCACATTCGACGATTGAAGCACTGTTACTGGAGCAACATTAAAACTTTGATTTGCAGCTTCTTCCATCTTAGGAGGCATTTACTTGTTGTTTTTGTTGTGTTTTTTTTATTATTATTAATTTCCACAAAATGGATTTATATGTATTTACATATATTTTTTTATGTGTATATACACTAACTTTTATTTTTTTTTTTTATTTTTCCTCGTCGCCAATGTAATGTCTTTCAAATAGACAAAAATAATAACACAACCGTTGCGATCAAAGTCCAAAATGTAATATGTTTATTTTCTGTTTACAAAAGAGAATAGGTTTCAACAATCACTACTGTTACACTCATTAGTAGTGATTGAGTGATATTTAATAAACAACGAATGAGAGGGAATGGAAGAATGTAAGAGTACTAAACAGTAATATTACAGTAGGCTCTGCATACAAGTACTATATAGTAATATTACAGTAGGCTCTGCATACAATACAAAATACAGTATATACTTGATATATGCAATACTCTATACATAGGCTGCAATCGAGCGAGCGAGCGAGCGAGCAACCAACCGACTGATCATCAGTCAGTCCCCCAAAACGTTTCAATTGCTAGCTAAGTGTTGATATAGTTGTCGTTGGCGTTTTTTGGTCGGATTTTTGTCTTCATCTTAGACGACTTCTGTTCAGACATCATCGCTGCAATGTCTTAGTAAATCGACCTATTGTCAATCGGTGGACGACGTTTGATGTGTCAATTTAGACAATCGCAGACTTGATTGTATTATTTGCCAATTTTTTTTTTTTTCAATTTTATGTGGTATCTTGGCTAGGCTGCCTGGTTCACCGACAATGCACCTTAGTCTGTCTAAGAGGTAAAATCGACAACAAAAAGAAGGGCTAGTTGTCTATTTCTACCGAATAAAGAATCCAAGGCGTTGTTGTTTCTTTTCTTCTGTATTTTTGGGTTATAGAACAGGCACTTCATTCTTGGCATTCTAAAGTGACGACATGATGTTCGTTCTACTGCTTCTTCTACTTTTCCTGCTTGTCATCTTTTTTTTTTGTCTATTTTTGTTATTGTTGTTCTTTTTGGTTTTCAATGAATATTTGATGGTGGAATTTCATTCCGAGCGAAATAATTTAATAGCGGATGTTGATTTCTTCTTTAGACGCGGCTAATGTTTTTTGCTCTTATATGCACGAAAATAAAAAAAAAAAGGCAGCACTGAAGACGGCAAAGACAACGAATAGTACCAAAAATACAACACAAACGCCTGCCAGCCAGCCAGCTAGCCAAAGAACCAACTAAAAAAAAAAAAAAATGAGCAAAAATACTTTTTTTTTTGGTAAATTGTTTTGACAGTCTATGGCGTCTGTAGTGACAAGAAACGCGACAGACCGAAATTGAACAATTCATTTGAAAAACGTGTTAGAAATTTGTAATAGAACCCACGAAAAAAATTAGAAAAATGAAAAAAAACACAATCATCACTCAATCTGCTAGTGGAATTTGGTCATTAATACAAATTGAATTGTAATGACCATATTTTGAATAAAACAATCTAGCCACTTGACATTTTAGTACAAATATTTGGATTGAATGTGGCTCACTAAGTTTTTTTTCTAATGCTGAGTCATGTGAGGTTGGTAGGAATGACGCCAGATCGAAAAATTCCATATATTCAAAATCAGATCCAATTTTAGCCGAACTTCTTCTATACTACACAAGTAAAACGTCATTAACCATTCCGAATTTTTATATGCTCCAAAAAAATGGTGTGCATTCAAATTTCTTTCAAAAAGTCGAGAATTTCATATGCATATTGTCTGATAGTCGGCAAAAAATAAATTACAGACACTCAGGTTTGAAAACTGGTTAAGGATCTTCAGAATACTAAGACGAATCTTTGCCTGAGGGGCATGTCAAAATATGAACAAAGTTTTTTTTAATCACCATGACCATTTCCAGTCACTTCGGAACTAAAATATGTAAAAATAGGTTGCTTCCTTCTTTATATGATGGTTATGTCAAAATATGGATCAACGTTAAAAATGTTCGACAAATATATTTTTCACTATTCATGAAGACGCAATGCCAAATTACAAAAACTTTGGGGAGTAAATCCTATAAAACTATCAAAATATCGAAAATGAGCAGAACATTTTTATTAGGTTGGCGAAAAAGAAATCCACTATTTTTATATGAATTATAGGACTTTATTTAACACGCTTCGGAATGTCCGATTTGGGCCAAATATGCACCATTACCATTTTAAAGGTAACTCCAAGTCCGGACTGTATGGCGTATGCATTAACACTTCCCAACCAAGCTCCTCGCTTCTGGAGAGTCACTGAAGATGTGTGTGGCCTAGCGTTGTCCTGCTGAAACCTCTCCTTTGGCCAATTCTGGCCGTTTCTGGTCAATTGCTATCTTCAAACAGTCCAGTTGTTGACAGTAGAGATCAGCATTTAGGGTAGGGTCATATGGAAGCAACTCATAATAAATAATCCCCTTCAAGTCCAACCAAATGCATAGCAGAACCTTTCTGGCCCTTAGTCCTGGTTTGACCACCGTTTGAGGTGCTTCACCGCTCTTTAACCACGATCGTTTTCTCACAGGCTTATCACATGTGATCCATTTCTTATCTCCAATCACCATCCGTTTAAGAAATGGGTATATCTCATTCCGAGGCTTCACAAATGGAAATTCGATCAATCCTATTTTTTCTGTTAATTGGTGTGACACCCAACCATCGAACTTCTTTTTGAATCCAGCTTTGTGTAAATGTTTTGAAAAAGTTTTATGGCCGATTTTTAGCTCCTGGGCGATGTTACGACTGCTAACATGCTGGTCAATTTCGATGGCCAAATCTGAACCTATATGAATATTTTCTGCAAAAATGTTTTCACAATCCAAATACTCAGAACTACACATTAGAACCACTTTGGTGTATTTAAAAATGTGTTTTACCCTCCAGGAACCCAGAATGCAAATTTGCAATAAGAAAACCAGTAAGGAATGTAGTAACGTCGGACGAGGCCGACCATATGATACCCTTCACCACTTTGGGTATATTCAACAGATGAATCCTAACAGACGTCTCATTTTTAAAGGACCAGTAAAATGAAATTGGATCCATAAACATGTCATTCTGCAACCGATACTAAATTATTCATTTGGTTAGATATAGAAGCTATATCTAAATCTGAACCGATTTTCAGGAAACTTAACACACATCATTCTAGACCTAATTCATTACGCTGTGCCAAATTTCGTGCAAATCGAAAGATATATAGAAACTTTGATGGGCCATTTACATTAAATCGGACGAAAATATATATATGAGCTATATCTAAATCTGAACCGATTTTTCCCAATTTCAATAGGGTTCGTCCTTCGGCCAAATAAGCGATCTATGTCAAATTTCATCCAAATCGGATCATAAATGCGACCTGTACTTTGTTCACAAAAATACATGGACGGACGGACAGAGGGACATGCGTAAATCGACTCAGAAAGTGATTCTATGCATATTCTCAAAAGGAAACATTTATCTATCTCGTTTCCTTTTGCCTGTTACAAACATACCACAGTGTGATGAAGGGTATAATGAGCAAACAACTTAAAAAATCTCGCTATGGGCGGAGACTTTGTCCCAACATAGATCTACATCGAAATTGTTCTGCAAAAGTGACAAACTACAGCCATTTCGGTGGGGAGCTATACCAAATTAAGAAGGTGCCCAAAATAACGAAAAGATCTGCTTATTTTGGTAAAACATCCCAGAAGTGCAATACATGTGCAAAGTTTCAAAGTTCTATCACAAATATTGCAATATATATCGCGATTCCAACAAGAAGACGGGTTAAATCGACACAGAATTTTATTTAAATCGAACTAATTAACATATTCAGTCATATCTCAATCTGAACTGATTCAAATCTATGTTCGCACAATTCAATAGGACTCGTTCCTGGCCCAAAAATATGATATTTTATCTGTAAGAGATCTTCAAAGAAATGGCGCAATAACTTGTGACAGAACATTTGTTCCATAAGCCGAGATTAACACAGATTTCCAATCTCGTCCGTCTTGTGCGCATTTCTTTCTATCTAATTCGTGGCATTCTCCTTCTCCGTGTGCCATCACATGACTCGCTTTTATATGCCTATTGTGCTGGGGCATCCTCACAACATGACCTAGCCAACGTAGTCGCTGCAGCTCGATACGTCTGACAATGCCGATGTCCGAGAATATATGGTACAACTCATGGTTTATTCGATGGCGATATTCACCAATAACGGCAGTTCTAAATATCGGACAAAATTATATCTATAAAAGTCTCTCATTCTAGAATTAAAAGTTAATTGCAAAATCCTTGGCCATATATATAGTTTTTAATTTAGATCATATAGCCACTATAAAAATGCCTCCTCTCCCTTACTTATTTTTAAAGTTCTGGTCTCATTTTCAATCGATGTGGTTTTGCTTCTGGTAGGAGAGTTGTTACTTCAATGCGAGTCTTAACCTTTCTACTTTCAGTTAAAAAAATTCTATTTGTTTTTATGAAACAGATGTTAGCTACATACATACACATGTTCATATTTACGGTATAAATATTTGTTTTCCTATTTGTATTTATTTAATATTTGTCTTCGATTTACTACTACCTGCCTTTAGATATCAGAAACAGTTGATGTTTCAAATCGTTTATCAACACCTATCAAAGAAATGATATTCATAATCAATGGCAAGGAACGCAAGTGATATTGTTGCTACCGCACCCGAAAATGTGTCGATTAGAAGCGTGACAAAATTCATTGCTTATTGTATATTTAAAAAAATGTTCGATACATGTTTTCAATACAATGTAAATAAATTATTTTATAAATTAATAAATATGATTATTTTTTTTATCGAAATAAGGACTGAAGAAAACAAATTTAATTAAGTTGAACGCCAACAAAATTGAGGATAGGTGAGGTACGAACTTTCATTTCAGCAAATTGTGGAGAGTTTGATGACAGTTTCTTCTGAATTAACAGAAGAAGTTAACCGAAAATCCTCAACTTCGAAATGGATTACTGTTTGATAGATATATTCAGACGCGCTGTAGAAAAACTAAACATGTGTAGGGAATGTTCCAAAAGAACTGAAACGACGCTTTGTCTTCGCATTTGACATAGTTTTCTTTTTTAATAACGTCATGAGCAAAACTTGAATTAAAACGGAAACACTGTCGTTTACATTTTTGTTTTTTTCCAAAATGTATACAGTTTTTAGGGTATATATTAGAAGGAAGAATGATCAGATACTTCGCATTTTTAAACTTCGAAATAAATCGGTTACTCCCATTGGGATTTATTACGAAAAACGGCAAGAAAGACGAACCAAAATTTCTTAATCGTCTGAAAGGGATTTGACCATAGGTCAAAAAAATTATTTAGACCAGGAACAGTTTTGATCGAATATTTCTTAGAACGAGAATAAGACGGTGGACCTACATACGTATATTGAAAATTT